CCAAAAATAGAATGCTGGCCAGTGGGAGATAATTATTTAGGTCATACAGATCTAGGGATATCTTCTTCATGGAATGAGAAGTTGTTTAATATGCAGCTGTGATTGTGTTGCCTCTAAGCCTGGAGACTACGGCTATTTGACCCCCAAGTAACCATTAAGGGTTGATACTTATAGACATTCAAATAAGGGAGAGGATTAGCTGACAGGCTACCTTTGTCAGCTATTGGCTATGATGTGCCTAATACATTGGACATTTTGGTTAGTACTGTTCAAATCAGGTTCCCCAACTTGGTGGCCACGGGCACTAGGAAGCCTGTCAACACCGTTCCTGGGATCCACCAAGTGTTTTTCGAAAGTGGGCAAGGTCAAGTGGTGCTTGTGCCCTGCAAGACATTTGACTGGCTGTGCAGACTAACAGGCATCCTGTTAAGCAACGCTTCTGCCTCAGATGTTGAATAGTTACTATGAGAGTTATGCGTAACCTCACTTCCTAACATTTTGTAGTTGGCTCTGCCCTCCTACAGCAGCCATTTTGTTCACGTGCCCACCATCCTGTGTCAGGATTCAAAGTGTGCCTGCAGGGTCAAAAAGGTTGGGGACTCTTGGTTTAAATTTTGTGAGGGCTGCTAAGAAACTGTTGAGTGTTTCATACATGGGCACACCTCAGCCAAGACTCCCTTGGTTATCTTTCTTTCTAAGCTGAAAACATCCCATATTTACCTCGACAATTTACATGAGAAGTGATTTGGACCACTTCATCCCAGTCTTACTCAAAACATTGTCTGTCATCCATAGTAACTGGTTGGCCACTGTGTGAGAAAGGAGGCTGGACTAGGTGGAGCACTGACTGGTCTGACCCAGCAGAGCTCATTTTATACTCTTAACCTCCAGGTGGGGCCTGTAATTCTACTAGAATTACAAATAATCTTCAGACTACAAAAAAAAAGATTCCCCTGGAGAAAATGGTTGCTTTGGAGACTGGCCTTTAGTGCATTATACCCCACTGAGGTCCCTCCACAACCCCCTGCCTTCCCAAGGTTCCACTCTCAAATCTTCAGGAATTTCCCAAGCCAGAAAAGGTAACCCTACCCATAGCATTAATTTAAAAAATGGTAATTCAGTGTTTGTTAGCAATTTGTATTTAGAGGCCTTTAATAATCTGAGGCCCTAAACTGTAGTTTATTTTATTTGTGTGTAAATCCAGTTCTGCTAAAGTGCATACCGTTGGCTGGATTGTACACAAAGCTGCAGGTGGTGGAAAGTTTACATCCCATGGGAGATAAAGGAAGTTCTGGCCAGGAACACAGTATGGAACACTCAGCTGCTAAACAGACTTCCTGGAGTGTAACATGTGACAAAATAGCCAGCAGGGAAGTTTTGAAGCAGAAAGAGCACACAACACCATGCCTTAGAGATCAATCTTGTACCAAGACAACAAGTCAAACAAGCTTGCTGTGCACAACAGGTGGTTACGCCTTAGGAGTGACGTTTCTGTTACAGCCATGTCGCCTCAGTAAATCTTCGGGATTGAAGTAGATTGATGAGACACTGATATTGGACACAAAAGTTAGTAACCGCTACTGACCCCCTTCTGCTTGCTGATAAATATTTCTCAGGCTTCCATACAATAAAAGAGCTGTCACCTGAGTCAGAAAAAATAGAAGAGAGGTTGTTTTTTTGTTCTGTTTGGTGGTTTGTTGTAGGGCTGCCAGCCAATGGCAAATCTGAGGGGGCAGGAACACAAGGGGGTGCCATAGAGTTTCTGGCGATTCCTAGAGAGGACTGACATCACTTCCGGGTTCTCCTGGAAATGACATCACACCTTCACCCGGTGGGGACTTTTCCCCTATAGACAACCACCACTGCAGCCATCGTGGTAAACAGGAGCCTGGGCAGGGGGATACCCTGCCTCTGGTGGGAACTTGGTAAGCCTAGCTTGTTGCTTGTTTGAAGAAAAACAAATACTGGGCCTATTCCTGAAGAAACTCTTTGATTTTCTTGTTTGTTAAATCATCAAACTTTCACTGTGGAGTCTTCCGTGTAGTATAAATCTCTCTATTATTCTGTAGGAGCAACTGGGCAGCATCATCCTTTTGTAGACTGAATTTATGATCATTTCCCTCGATATGAGGTGGCTCTTTCATCGTGAGTTTAGGGCGACTGCTTCAGGCAGTGGTACACCAGAAAACCACCTATAATGCTCTGCCTCTTCTCATAGATTAACCCAGTGTGTTTCTGACCACAATATGTATTTTATTATATGTATGAGTAACCAAGATGGAATCAAGGGGCTTCCAGCCCAGGGCAAATGGATTGATTAGATATGCATGTTATAGGCGAGCATAGTGCTGGCTTTTGAAAGAGGATTGTTGTTCAGTCGCACAGTCGAGTCCGACTCTTTGCGACCCCATGGACCAGCTCCCTCCAGGCCTTCCGGTCTTCCGCCATCCTCTGAAGTTTGCTCAACTTCATGTTCGTTGCATCAATGACACTGTCTAACCATCTCATCCTTTGCCGTCCCCGTCTTCTTTGACCTTCAATCTTTCCCAGCATCAGGGTCTTCTCCAGTGAGTGCTCCCTTCTCATTTGGTGGCCAAAGTATTTTAGCTTCAGTTTCATTATCTGGCCTTCCAGGGAACAGTCAGGGTTGATTTCTTTGAGGATTGACTGATTTGTTCTTCTTGCAGTCCAAGAGGATTAGGGGTCATTATAGCAATGGCACGTTTGATTTTGAAGCTTATTTACTTTGCTGTTATTAAAAAAAACCCCACAACATTCCCATGTAGATGTCATTCCTAATTGTGGTTAAAAAAATCGGGATTGTGTTGTGGGCCCCTTTCTTCTCTCTTGTACATGGATGGCCTCCTGCAGTTGAAATCATGGTGGCAACCATCTCATCTGCATTGGCAGTAGGCCTGGTTAATGCTGTGGTGGAAGACTGCCATTATCAGGCACACTGAATAGTCTGGGAACATCTGGGGCTGCAGCCCAGTTAATCTTAAACCAGCATTGACTTTACCAGTTTGGAAGGGAGGCCACTGTGAGCCTAATATAAAAATGTATATAAATACGACAAACATGTTTGTTTTACGGCCAGAGTTTAAAATCTACTGTCTACTGCTTGCATTTGTAAACCATACTGATAAGAAGATTGTGTTAGTGTTAAATAACTGAAGACTATACAATGATTGAAGTGATAGTTGCGAGGAGAGACAGTCCCTGTTTCCTACCATAGTTAGCTTGGGTCTTTTACTTTGCACTGGGCTAGCGTGGTTCTCAGGGTTGCTTGTCTTTGCAGTGGGTGGGGCATACAAAAAACTTTACTAAAACACTGTCCTCCTTGCTTTAGCTCTCTCCCCATTCATTTTAAGGTTCTTGCCTTTGGCAACTTCCACCATGGACTAGGAGATAACGCCAGCCTAAGAAGGAATATCAGCAAAAGAAGCAGCCAGGTGGGGACTTCCTTTTTTTAAAAAAATCCAGATTAAAATTATTTGGAAATCTCTGTGTTTGGTGGGGCTAGTGTATGTGTGTGTGTGTGTGGGGGAACCCCATTCCTGTTATAGTTGGCAGTAACAATGAGCTTGAGCAGTTCTCACTCATGAGTCCTTAAAGGGTAAGTTCACACCTACACATTCATCCTTAACAATAGCATCAAATTGTGAGTTTGTCAAACAGCTTTCAGTGATCTTCAAGCTATCTGCCATTGGAGAACTTCTATTGGGGGGAGGGGCCGTGGCTCAGTGGCAGAGCATTGTCAGAACCCACAGCCAACAACGTAGTACACGCTTATCAGGAAAGGTAATACTTTATTGAAGAGCTATAGATGCATTAACATAGGCACTGTTAAGAATGACGGCTGCCCATGGGGCATAATAGGATATAGGGTATTCGTATGCACCCCCCCCTGCCCTGGCCAATGAGTCACCCTCCCGCGTGTGGGAGAAAGAGCTTCGGCCGTTTAGCGGTTAAGCTGGGAATGAAACACTCTCTCACGGTTCCCAAGAAAACCAGACATCAACATCCCCACCTGCAATACTTAGAGATAAGCGTTGTAGCAGCAAAGAAGCACAGAAGGAATGCAAAGGCAATTAGAAGACAACCAGCCTCCCTACCCCCATGGCAGCATAGCTGACAAGCATCTGCTTTGGATGCAGAAGGCCCCAGGTTCAATCCCCAGCATCTCCAATTAAAAGGGCCCTGCAGTAAGTGATGTGAAAGACCTCTGCCTGAGATCCCAGAGAGCGACTGCCAGTCTGTATAGACAGTCCTAACATTTGATGGCCCAATGGTCCTATTCAGGATAAGGCAGCTTCATATTACGTTTCCATATTTTATGCTTTGAAATAGGGTTGTGAGGCCTATTTTGGAGGGGGGGGGGTGCTGGGAAGGGTCACACGTGACCCGAAAGTGACATCACTTCCAGACAACGATATAGGAATCTCCCCAAATCTCTATGGTAAAATCCTTGGCTATTGGGAGGATTCCTAATTTAGAAGTCATGTCACTTCCAGGTCAGGTGCCATCCCCCCGCCCCCCTCTTCTCCTTATACAAAGGTCAGTGGTGGCAAGAATGCCAGCATGGCCACAACTTTGTTGGTTACAGCTGTAAGAAACATTGGCACAGCACTGGATGCAGAGCATCACCTGGCCCGCGCCAGTCAATGTATCCCATCACACCCAGCCAGCTGGCTTGGGTGGAGAACTGTGGGATGGCAGGTTTCAGGAGCCCACACAGATGGCTGCCTCTCAGTGGTCTCCCCTGCCATCTGCTGGTGAGGGCAAACGCTGGTAGTTTCGGAGCAGGCTTACTCCCCTGAGCCCTCATGCCAAGACCCCTTAAGAGGGTCCCTGTATCCAGGAGGCGGCAGGAGATCACCTGCTGGAAACAGGCCTTGGTAAGCCTGCTTTGAAAGTGTTGGTCAGTACATTGAGAGAAGTGTTCTGCCTCAGTATTGTATATAGACTTTTATCATAGAAATCCATCACTGTATTCTTAGGGTCTGCATCTGAATCTGTTGGACAGCCTTCGTCCTTTGCGGCGCACAAAAAGAAGATGGATCATTGCCACCCTGGAACTTGAGGAGGAAGACAAAGGCCCATTCCCCAAAAATGTTGGAGAGGTAAATACAAGCTTAGTTTTTTAATCAATATGTAAAAATTTTCTGTCAGGTGCTTTATATCACTTGGCCCTGGCCCCCAGTGCCAATTGAGTTAAAGAGTGAAGTTCTTTTAGGTAAACCTGGTAAAGGAGAAGCTTATATAGGGCCTGCTTGGTGCTGTGCATATTCAGTACTCGTGGGGCACATATATGGTAAGATGATGAACGGGTAATCAGTTTGTGATAATTGGCAAGAATCTGGAATCCTTTGGAAGTTCAGTTTTGCCACATAATGTCTTTTCTGAATGCACACGTTTGATCTAAGGTGTAATGTGATCTAAATATTGTTGGAATATGCAAGGTCTATTGTGCATAGATAAAGAAAATGTTGAGAACATCCTGCAGGGGGCAACAGAGGGGACAAGTAGTTAGCAAACTGAGATTTGGAACTTCCTACTATTTTCAAATAGTCTCCTTCCTGTCTCCTAATTGGCTCAGTTAGGTCTCCTCCCTGCTCCTGCTGAGAACTCTTAGTCTGCTGACTCTCTCCTAGCTAGTCAGACAGTTAGACTTCTCTCTCTCTTTCTCCTCTTTCTTACAAAGTTTGTTCTCTTCTTAATAAACCAACTTTATTCTTTAAACAGTTTGTACTTCACTTTACTGCATATCTACACTCTGCCAACAGATATCAGGCTGGCTTGGGTTGTATTTCTTATGGCTGGGAGAAAACCTCATCATTCCACTGTGGATTTAGACTGCATCCCTTCTAAGTGATGAGTAAAGTTCCTGTGCCTGTAAGAATTTGCATTGATTTTTGTTGGGTGCAGATTGTTCTACAGGATCCTTTCAGAGGGTAGCCACATTGGTCTGCAGTAGAATAAATAGATTTGAATCCAGTAGGATGTTAAGAGATCAATGAGATTTTCATCCTGTAAGCTTTCGAGAGTCATTGCTCCCTCGTATCATGCTCATGGTATCTGACGAAGGGAACTTTGACTCTCGAAAGCTTCTACCCTGAAAATCTAGCTGGACTCTAATCTAGATATTCTACAGAGTGAAAGAAATCTGCAGTGGCTGAAAGGGCCTCTTCTATCCGGCCGTTGTAGATACAAGATTTCTCTTCCGTATTGCAGCTGTTCAAGCTGGTGATGACCAGTTCATGTTTTGCATTCTGTGTCTGCACCAGTCTGAAAGTTCCTTTTTCTTAGTGTCATATTTCAGATACATACAGGGATAGATAAAATAGTAGCTGTGAGGTTGGCGCAGAAGATCATAGTACTTAGAGGGGTCACTTTGTTATAGGGCTGCCAGGCCATGCAGTCATCAGGAATGGAGGATGGGGACACAGCATCACATACAGCATGAGGTCACTTCTCAGGAAAACTGGGAAGTGATGGAGAGTAAGTCTAGGAATCGCCTGAAACCATAAAGTGTTACCATAGAGTTTCCAGTGATTCCTAGAGCTACCATCTGACGCTTCCAGGTTTTTCAAGAAGTGACATAACAATACATGTGACACTGCCAGTTTTTCAGTTTTTCTTGTGATAAGGAGATTACATGGCTCTGAACAATGAAGTCCAAGGGGTTTGGATCAGAAGCGTCTCTTCCTCGCTTATTGCTTTGGTGATTGTTTCTGTTTATTGGAGCTTTACGATGGAGAAAGTTACAACAGGGGCTGCAAGCCTATGCATCTTCATATGCTTTCTCTACTAGGAGTATCATCACACTATTTACTTGTCTTCTAGGTCAACATTGTTGTCTCCAGTGACTTGTCGGTGTTTCCCTTTAAACATTTTGAAAGGAAATTAGTGGTTAGGGAGGCAGGCTAGGATCAGCAGTTCGAGACCCGGGTTGCCACATGATGGAGTGAGCTCCCGTCTCTAGTTCCAGCTCTTGCCAACCTAGCAGTTCGAAAGCAAGAAATTGCAAGTAGATAAATAGGTACAACTTTGGTGGGAAGGTAACAGCATTCTGTGTGCCTTGGTGTTTAGTCATGCCGGCCACATGACCACGGAAACGTCTTCGGACAGCGCTGGCGCTTCAGCTTTGAAACGGAGATGAGCACCGCAACCCTAGAGTCAGACTCGACTGGCTTTCGAGCAAGGGAACCTTTACCTTTACTAGATTAGTAAACTTTTTGTTGGGGGGGGCAGCAGGTGAACACACAAGGATTAAAGAGTGATGCAACTGGAACCTTAGCTGGTAATAAGATTAGCCTTTCTTCAACTGCCTTCTTCTTTTTGTAGCTCTTCAATAATAAATCGCACGATATGACCATAAAATATTTAATCAGCGGTCCGGGTGTCGATGAGTATCCAGAGGCTGGATTGTTCTCTCTTGGGGATGATTCCAGGGGGCTCGTTTATGTGCACCGTTCCATCGATCGAGAGGCCACTCCTTCTTTCCTGGTAATTATCACTGCTAAAAAGAACATAAGAAGAGCCCTGCTGGATCAGACCAGCGGTCCATCTAGTCCAGCACCCTGTCCCACACAGTGGCCCAACCACTTCCTCTAGAGGGCCAACAACAGGGCACAGAGGCTGAGGTCTTCCCCCAGTGTTGCCTCCTGGCTCTGGGATTCAGAGGATTAGTGCCTCTGAACGTGGAGGCTCTCCTCAGTCACCATGGCTAGTAGCCCTTGATAGATTTATCCTCCATGAATCTATCTAATCCCCTTTTAAAAGTGTTTATTCCTGTGGCCATTACTGCATTCTCTGGCAGTGAATTCCACATTGTAAAACCCTCTCTGTGTAAAGTTGTCTTTCCTTTTGCCCATCCTGAACCTACTGCCCATCAGTTTCACTGGATGCCCTCAAGTTTTCGTATTGGTGGAACCGGTTGAACAGGGTTCCCCCCCCCTTAATTATTTCCCTGATAGTATTTTTCTGTAATCACAACTTCTATTTGGTAACATTGCCTTTGAATGACAAAGCTGTGGGACGTTACAATGATATCTGTCCAGTGCTTTAGATTATTTATTTATTTAGAAAAATCTGTATGCTGCCTCTAGAGTTGCCCACTGCCTGGCCTACCTCCCAGGGTTGTTGTCGCAATAAAATGACAGAATGGAGAAGTATGAAAGCTGCCCTGAGCCCCTTGGAAGAAAAAAAAGAATAAAAGCCAAGGATAAAAATAGAATACCACGATTTAATAATAGGACAGAATAAAATGAAGACATGAGAAACTCAGTGTTCAATTATTTTTAAAGGGCAAAGGCGCTAATTTAATCTGTCATGCCTCGTGATGTTGCCCAAAGGTGTCATCTCATTTATGACACCCAAAACAATTTTTTTTTAAAGGAATTAAGCCATTTCTCCTGGCTGTTGGCCTAAACCAGCTTCCGTGTCGTCATCCATTCTTTAGGTACGTTTTGATGTTGCAAGTACAGCTACTGGAGAGATAGTGGACAGATCGTTACTCTTCAATGTTAAGATTAAAGACATAAATGACAATGCACCGAAGTTTCCCAAGAACGAATTTAACATCACTGTGAAAGAAAATCACCAGAGAGGTGAGTATCATCGAGACGGCGGCATCACAGCAAGCTGTAATGAAACTGCAACTGGGCAGGAGCATAGCTCATTAGCTCTACCGCTGTGCTCCCGTCTTCCTTCCTTCCTTCCCTCCCTCTGCTGCTCCAGTGCAAAGCTATTCTCAGATTTGGATTCCTGGGGGTGAGAGCGCAAAGGAGACCTGTGTTGTCTTTAATATTTGCTTCCTTCCCTTCTTTGTAAATATACAAACAAAGGGCGATTTCGCACTAGAGCTGCCCTTCCCTTCCCTTCTTTGTAAATATACAAAGTATAGATGGAGGAAAGGAGCATTTGTACAAGGAAGTGATCACATTTCAGAGGGAGACGCACAGAGAAAGTGAGCAATTCTTTGCCTCTTTTTTGCTGTCACTTCCAAGCTACTGGAAGTTGCAGCCCTAAAAAGAAGCGGGAAGGAAGGAGAATCTGCAGCAGCCAGATGGGGATTAGGGATGATTTTGGAAATCCAGCAAGTTTTGTTTTCTGAGACGGAAGTCTGTCCTCCTGCTGATGCGGGCCATTACTCCACACCACAGTCCTCTTTACTTTCTTTTGGGAAGGGGAACATTATTTGGAGCTGGGTATCGAAACTCTTGTGTAGATCTGTAGGGGATTTAACATTGTGGGTTCATTTGTTGCAGTGTTCCACATTCAACATAATACACAGAAGAGTCCACTGAAAATGCTTTACTCACACGGGTCCGGCTCTAGTTGAGGTTGCAAAGCACTGGAGAATAGTTGCAATGAAAAGAGGATGGGACACCTTTTGCATGGGTGGGTGGGGTTGTGGCTCAGTGGAAGAGCCTCTGCTTGGTATGTAGAAGTAGCCAAATCCAAACAAAACAGACCTCCCAGTAATCACACAACAAAGAAAGCAAAACTGGGGCCAATGTAGAACCAATAATACACTCTAAAACATAAGTAATATGCTGAATACAATTGCTTTATACTAGATAGTCACTATTAAGTGTACAAAATTTCCCCAAACATTTACAATAACAAGATAATACAATAGAATGTCAGTAGCTGCCAACAGCCCCAAGATATCAATGGAAATCCTAAACAGTTACTGTTGGCAGTCAAAAGAGTATAAGGCTTATTGAGCTAAAAGCTACTAGAGCTTGACGAAGCAGCCGGCTTGTGCTTGGTTTCGTGTAATGACTTCCTCATAAGCAGCTTAACTGATGTTGTATACAAGTTTTCTTAATATGTGTAATCTCCTGGTTTTTAAGATACTTCTCTAGAGTTGCTACCATTAATATAGGGACTAGCCCTTATTTCCTTGGACCATATCTCATATGGGACCTGTCCTTGATAGACTAAGCTACGTAGCCAAGGTCTCTCTGAGAACCTAATGAGATATAGGGCATTTGTATGCACACACACCCCCCCCACTGCGCTGGCCAATTAGGCACCCTCCTAATTGAGCCAGCAAGTGTTACTATGCGAAACTGGGAATTGTTCGGCTCCCACGGCTGGCCTGGAAGGCAGACAACACACATCGCCAACTGTACTTCTTTAGAGATAAACATTTCAGCGCAAAGCAGAGAGAGGAATGCGAAAGCAATTTACACAGACACTGAAAGAACATCCCAACCCCCATGGCAGCATAGCTGACAAGAAGGTCCCAGGTTCAATCCCCTGCATCGCCAGTTAAAGGAACCAAACAGTAGGTGATGAAGCAGACCTCTCTGCCAGAGACCTCGAAGAGCCACTGCCAGTCTGAGTAGACAATACTGACCTTGATGGACTAGTGGTATGATTCAGTATAAGGCAACTTTATGGCTGTTCATTTTGAATCTGACTGAAACCTGCAGTTTATGAAGAGTTTCTGTGGATATCTTAGTGGATGGGGTAGTGGAGGGAGATAAATGGGAGATAAATGGGGAGAAATCTGTGGAAATAAAGAGGCATGCTGTTCACATCACTTGGTGGTAGGCAGTGTTCCCTCTCAGCTGAGTTAGTGTGAGCTAGCTCACAGTTTTTTAGCCTCTGACTCACACATTTTTTGTCTTGGCTCAGGGAGCAAACAGCGCTCAGGAGGCTCCAGAGCAAACTAATTTATGCAGCAGCCAAATCGCTCATTCGCAACTTTAATGCCAATAGCTCACAAAGTAGAATTTTTGCTCACAAGACTCCACAGCTTAGAGTAACGTAAGAGCCACATAGAATAAACGTCAGATGTTTGAGAGCCACAAGGCATGAACAAATATTACATGTTTTTACTGGGAAATATGCAAATTTGCTTTTTCTTAACATTAAATGAGACTGCCAAAAATAATAACAAAAGCGGTAAAAGCAGATATTGATAATGATATTTATTTGCTCAGTGATATTTGTTTGCTCATATATTTAGCTTCCCTGGCCGCCCTGCTGGGAGCCGCACAATATGTGTGAAAGAGCTGCATGCGGGTTTGGCCACCCCTGGCTTAGAGGGAGCCTTGGTGGTAGGGTTGCCAGGTCCCTCTTGGCAGCCGGTGGGGATGGGGGGGGGACTTATCAGGAACAGCAGGGAGGCCCAATCGACATGTCTATATCACCGCCCCATGACTTGGAAATGATGTCATCATGTCCTGGATGTAGGGACAATGCTCTGGTATTTGGGCAAAAATGCAATGGTAAATTTGGCTTCTACCATAGAATTTTTTCCCCAAATACCAGAGCATTGCCCCAATGTCCCAGACATGATGATGTCACTTCTGGGTTATGTGGACAATGATGTAGACACATCGCTGCATGTCAGATGGATCTCCCTCTTTTTCAGGGTAAGATCCGCCCCCCTGCCGGCCAGCTGATCAGTGGCGGGCTGGTGGGGCCTGGCAGCGGGGGACCCCCGCACCTCCATTGGGGGGTCTGGCAACCCTACTTGGTGGTCTCATGCAGTGTTCACTCTAAGCTGAGTTAGTGTGAGGTAGCTCACAGTTTCTTAGCCTCCGGCTCACACATTTATGTCTTAGCTCAGGAAGGATGGTCCCAGAGCAAACTAATTTATGCCGTAGCCAAATTGCTCGCTCACAACTTTAATGCCAGTAGCTCACAAGGTAGAATTTTTGCTCACAAGACTCCACAGCTTAGAGGAAACGTTGGTCTCATGCCCAACGTTTGAGCAGGCTCTCTGACTTTCATAATCTATTTATGGTAACATGTTCCAGAGGGATAGCTGTGTGAGTCTGTTGTGGCAAAAACACATAATTATATGTTAGAACAGATAAAAAGAAGTACTTCTTCACCCAAAGAGTGATTAACACATGGAATTCACTGCCACAGGAGGTGGTGGCGGCTACAAGCATGGACGGCCTCAAGAGGGAATTGGATAAACATATGGAGCAGAGGTCCACCAGTGGCTATTAGCCACATGGTATAGATAGGAGCTCTTGGTCTGGGGCAAGTGATGCTCTGTATTCTTGGTGCTTTGGGTGGGGGCAACAGTGGGAGAGCTTCTAGTGTTTTGGCCCACCTCCTGATTGCACCTGGTATTTTTGACCACTGTGTGACACAGAGTGTTGGACTGGATGGGCCCATTGGCCTGATCCAACATTGGCTTCTCTTATGTTCTTATATTATAGCATCACAGCTAGGAAATGGTTTTTCTAGCATAGGCATTCTATTTGTAGTGAGTCTATGAAGTAGACACCGTTTCTCTACCACTGTACCACCATTGGGAGTGGGGAATGTGGCAGTGAGTGAGGCAAAGTCAGAGGAATTGCCCCCGCCCCCGAGACACAAGTAAGGCCTCTACTGGGGCTGAGCACTTGGTGTAAACGCCTCTCTCTTCCCAATACTAGATGAGCCCATTTTCCAGGTAGTGGCCTCCGACGCTGATGAAGAAGGCACAGGCAATTCTCGAGTGGCGTATTCCCTTGTTTTTGGATAAAAACAAGCTACTTGTAAACTGGCACACCTACAGTTTCTCTTCTTGTACGCTTCTCTTCCCATCATTCCGTTTTCCCCAGACTGATTTCTGCAAGAGATTCTTCTCGAAAAGACTATGAATTACTACCATGAAATTCACTGACCCAGCTAAAGATTAGTAAGAGCCTCCCCTTTGAAACCCAAGCAGTAACTGGAGGAAGATTTCAGGACTTACCCACCAATGCAACTTTCCCTTTTCAAAAGGATGGATGAGTCTCAGGCATGTACGCAGCTGGGATTTGCTCTAAACAACCCACACATAGATACCTAGCAAAGCACCAACACCGCTAGTCTGTTTGCCCCCTCTCAGTGGCCAGCTACGAAACCTCAGCTATTCTGCTGTCATAAAGAGTGAGACCTTTGTGAGATCTAGGTGACTACCTCGCCTTGACAACTTTCCCAAACTATCTTATCACATTATCTCCTTGGATAGCTGCAGACTGATAGGGAATCTCTGCAGACACACACACACCTCACCAAGAGATCACTACGCCTTTATGAAAAGCCCATCACCCATTCAGGCTACCTTCTTTCATTGCAAAGAAAAAATCAACTATACAAAGGTTCCCTTCACGTCACCTAAGAGCCCGTGCCTTCCGGGTATCAGTCCTAGTGTTAAGGTCCTCACCTGGATGGTCCAGCCTAGCCCAGTCTCATCAGAGCTCGGAAGCTAAGCAGGATCGGCCCTGGTTAGCACTTGGATGGGAGACCACCTAGGAAGTCCAGGGTTGCTACACAAAGGTGGCCAATGGCAAACCACTTCTGTTCTTCTCTTGCCATGAAAACGGTATGGGGTCATCATAAGTTGGTTGCGACTTGACAGCGGTTTCTGCCATCATGGATGTGGTTGGAACACAGATGCTCCAGCAAGGTGACTGAAACGAAGCAGGTTTGGGTCTGGCCAGTGCTTGGATGGGAGACCTCCCGTGAGCACCACACAAAATATGGTATGCTGTGGGAAATGCAATAAATACTATGGGGTATCCTTTTATTTCATGCCATTGGCACCTGTGTATGTGTTCATTCAACTCAAAAGGCTTGACACAACAGCATCTTGCATCAATAAAAGGGTCCTTGCACCAAAGGAGTACACAAGCAACGGTGGAGCAAAATGGTAGGATCTGTCCCAATTAATAATACATACTAGTAATATTTGTGCACGGTTTGGAACCTAAGCAAATGCAAATGATAGTACTAATAATTGTAATCTGCTTAATGTGAGTAATTGTTAAACTGGTGTTTGATTTTGGCTCCAAGGAAGCCATAGGACATACCTGGTGGCCAGAGATGCAACCATAGTATATGTCTCATAAAAACCAGCGAAGCAAACTAGTGCTCCAGTAGCCATGTCAAAAGCTTCTGGAAGATAGGTGAGGCCGCTGAGGTCGTATCTGAGAACTCCTGGCTGCAGTGCGCTCTGATTTCAAAATGGAAGACATCTGCTTATGATCAGAGTGGTCCTTCCTGGTGGCATTATTAACAATTTTTGGTGTTGTAGAATCCATACCAGTGGCTTCTAATCCATAGACCAGAATGCTGTATTTACTTGAAAGAAAGGTGACCCTGAATGTAAGACAACCCCCAAACGTTATATATTAAAAGTTTTTTAAAAAATTATTGGACATAAATTTAAGATGACTACCTCTTTTTGTGATAGTACACCTGGGCTGCAGTCACACACACTATGTAATTCACTTTCAGTGCACTTTCCAACTGGATTTTGCCAGTTCATATAGTAGAATCCAGTTGGAAAGTGCACTTAAAATGGAGAAATATAAAACTGGCTGTGCATTTCAGTAGATTTTTCTAAACTGTATTGGAGAGGAAAACTATGATTTTTTAAATCCCCAGCCTAAATGGGCATGAATTAATGTTCTCAACGTTTCACGTGTTCAAGGGTGCCGGCGCTTTCAAACTTCTGATCAAGGCTACAGACCACGGAACTCCACAGCTGTCGTCAACAGCGACGATTAATATCGCCATCGAAGATTCGAACAACCACCTGCCAGTGTTTACTAAAGAAAATGTAAGGATGTGGAGCTGGAGAATTATTGCGATGAGAAATGTTAGTGGGAGAGAGTTCAGCGGGAGCCCAGTCATGAAATGTGAAGTTATCTCCTGTGGAGATTTACCGGACTGCTTTCGGGATTGTTTGGCATCTATAACGCAATTCACAGCATACCTTTTTAGTAAAGGTAAAGGTTTCCCTTGCTCTAAAGCCAGTCGAATCTAACTCTAGGGGGTGGTGCTCATCTCCATTTCCAAGCCAAAGAGCCAACGCTGTCCAAAGACGTTTCCGTGGTCATGTGGCTGGCATGACTAAACGCTAAGGCGCAGACGGAATGCTTCCCACCAAAGCAGTACCTATTTATCTACTTGCAATTTCTTGCAAGTTACTTGCTTCTAGGGTGGCAGGAGCTGGGACCAGAGACAGGAGCTCACTCTGTCGCACAGCACCGGGGTCTCGAACTGCCAAACTACAGACCTTCCAGTCTGCAGCTCAGCGTCTTAACCTCTGAGCCACCATGGTCCCCTTTGAGTAGTACCAACCAAATGGCACAGAACAGTATGTAAGGTTTAGTGTCCTCTGGACCTACATCAGGCTGGATGTTATAAATAAGAAGAGTAGGTTTTTTAAACCCTGCTTTTCTAACCCTAGGGAGTCTCCAAGCAGCTTACAATCGCCTTTCTCTTCTGAGCTCTGACGAGATCGGGCTTGCCTGGGCTAACCAGGTCAGGGCTCTCGTACCTTGGAAAATCTTGTTGGTCTTTGCTCTTCTACTGCAAACCAACATGATTACCTGCCCGAAACCCTCCTTCTTTGTGGTCCTGGTTTATTTAGAATTGCTCCTTGTGGAGTTCCAATCTGGGTTCCAGTCCTTGGTCACAATCACGTGTGACAGGAAATGGGGTGGAATGTTGAAAGCTGACTTTCATACATCTAGATTCTCATTTCCGTGCTTCCCTTCCCAGTATCAAGTGGATGTTGCAGAAGGCGAAACGGAAGGTGACATCCTACGCCTCCGGGTGGAAGATAAAGACTCTCGCGACACACCTGCTTGGAGAGCAAGATATAAGATAGTGAGAGGGAATGAAACGGGGAACTTCATCATTAAGACAGATCCGAACACCAATGACGGGGTCTTAAGCATCATAAAGGTAAAGTAAGTTTGACAAAGACCAAAGATGTTTAAATGAGGCAACCAGTCTGGGGTGTACCTGTTAGGTATTGAGATCCAAAAATTAGCAGAGGTAGATTAAAATAGGCAGACAGATGTGTATTTGTCTGTCAAAGATAACTTTACTAAAGTGTAGGTAAAGGCAACTTGGAGAACAAAAGTAAAAGAATTCATCCTTACTATCTCTAACCTACATATTGCTTCTCTAAGAACTTAACCTCCGACTCAGAGAGAAAGACTTTCAAGGAGAAGGAACAAAGACCCGTAAACTGAAACCCTTTGCTCTCTCCCTTGGCTCACCCCCAAACTATTGATTATCCAGTTGGAGAATCCCAACACTAGCAGGTTATGCATTCTGTCATCTTGCTCTAGCGGAAAGAACGTTTAGACAATTCTATTGATCTCTTAGTAGAAATCAGCATGCCTTTTTGTTGTTGTTCAGTTGCACAGTCGAGTCCGACTCTTCGCGACCCCATGGACAAGATCTCGCCAGGCCCTCCTGTTTTCCGCCATCCTCTGAAGTTTGCTCAATTTCATGTCCGTTGCATCTATGACACTGTCTAACCATCTCGTCCTTTGCCATCCGAAATGCTTTCATGACGAATATCAAGAGAACTCGCAAACATCCCAACAGTATCTATGCAGAAATTTCTCATTTTGTTGTTGTTGTGTTGTTCCCAGCCTTTGGTTTATGACGGCACCCCTGGGAGGAGCCTCATCATATCTGTGGAGAACGAAGAACCCTTTTCTTCATGTGACAGAGGCCGAATGAGAAGCCTTCATGTATCCCCCAAGAACACAGTTGTGAATGTTACAGTCCTGGACACAAATGACGCCCCTCAGTTCCACCCTCCAGTCCTTGCTCTTCAGCGAGAGGAAGGGATGAAGCCTGGGACCCAGCTTGGGCAATACACAGCGCGGGACCCAGACAGAGTCCCGAATGCGATAAGGTGGGCAAGTCTCAACTCCTGCATAAAGTGCCCCAGCTATGGAGCTCTGCTGAAGAGGCTTGCTTTCTTAAGGTTCTGCACCTATGAGCGGTTTGCTGTACAGGTGTCCAAAAGAGATGGCCCTTTCGGTGGTGGCCCACTAAGCAGGGGATCCAGGGAAGCTCACCAGACTGCATCTTTGTTTTTAATCAGTGAGATTATCTCCATTTCCCTCCAGGATACTGGACAATTGAAACGACCCAGCTGTCTCACCCTGATAATCACTTCGCTGGTATAACACCTAGTTTTGATTTCAGTAGCACCTTCGAGACCAACAAGTTTTTCGGGGTATTAAGCTATCAAGAGTCAAAACTCCCTTAGTTAGATGCTCTGACTCTCGAAAGCGTGTGTCCTGAAAATTGTGTTGTTCTCTGAGGTGCTGTTGGCCTCAAATCTGGTGTGACCTTGCTGGTGTGACCTTGGGTCAGTCATACGTTTTTTCAGAGCTGTTCTTGCAAGAGCAGTTCTCGAGAGAGAGCTCTCTCAGCCCCACCTACCTCACAGGGTGTCTGTTGTGGGGAGGGGAAGGGAAAGGAGTTTGTAAGCTGCTCTGAAACTCCTTTGGGTAGTGAAGGGCGGGGTCTAAATCCAATCTCCTCCACTTCTTTTTCTTCAGACCTACACAGCTACCCTCTGAAACTTGGTTAATACAATACTGCAGACTAGATTTTATTCTACTGCTGCACTTGCAATTTGAATATTTTACTCTGTTACGCTGATTTTGATATGAACCCTGCCTTGTGTGTATGTGAAAAAGCCACACGTTCAGGATTGGGGGGTGGGGAGAAAACACTCCAAAATGCTGAAAGAAAATGTGGTAGCAGCAGCTAACAGGCACAGGTATGAAGGGGAAGCTCAAAGCAGCTCTGGATATACTTCAACAGAAGTATAGTGTCCAGATCGCGCAAAGTGATAGTATCACTTTGCTCTGGTGAGACCTCACCTAGAGTATTGTGTTCAGTTTTGGGCCTCACAATTTAAGAAGCTGGAACATGTCCAGAGGAGGGCAACAAAGATGGTGAGGGTCTGGAGACCAAGTCCTATGAGGGAAGGTTGAAGGAGCTGGGTATGTTTAGCCTGGAGAGGAGATGACTGAGAGGTGATATGATAACCATCTTCAAGTACTTGAAGGGCTGTCATCTAGAGGATGGTGCAGAGTTGTTTTCTGTTGCCCCAGAAGGTCAGACCAGAACCAATGAGTTGAAATCAAATCAAAGGCATTTTCGGCAAAACATTAGGAAGAACTTCCTGACAAAGTGGTTCCTCAGTGGAACAGGCTTCCTCAGGAGGTGGTGGGCTCTCCTCTTTTGGAAGTTTTCAAACAGAGGCTAGATGGCCATCTGACAGCAATGGGGATTCTGTGAACTTAGGCAGATCATGAGAGGGAAGTAGGACGTAGGTTGCATCAGTACTTAGTTCTTGTGACCCTTTCCTACACGCCTAGGGAAATGCTGATCGCCACTTTGGGGTCAGGAAGCAATGTTTCTCCAGGCCAGTTTGGCTGGAGATCCTGGAGGGGTTTTGTCATCTTCTAGGCATGGAACAGGGGTCACTGGGGGTGTGGAGGGGGAAATATTTGAAAATTGTTTGCAGTGTGCAGGGGGTTGGACTAGATGACCCTGGAGGTCCTTTCCAACTCTATGATTCTATGATGGCTTCCCCCACAGGTCTGCACTGGCAAAGGATAAGTAGGAGGATGGAGGAAACACTGGAAGAGTGGGAAGATGGGAACACAGGAAGAAAAGACGGGTGGGTGATTGGCCAGAGGGACAGAAGTGCTGGCAAGGGGGCGGGTAAGCAGGAAGGTTAGGTGAAGGGGGAAGGCGGGGGTGGGAGAAGTGTGAGCAAAGGATGCAAAGTCAGAGAGGAGGGTGGGAAGCAGGGGACCAGCCAAGGGGGGGGGGACGGTGTGGGATTTCCCTTCTCCTGTGACACCTCGCAGGTCCCCTTAGAGGAGGGTGAAGAATGAGATCTATCTAGAATGAAACCTTTTTGCAGGCTCTCTCTTCTCAGAGTATTTCAAATTTCTATGAAGACAGAGACGTCTCCATGTTGCATGGTTAAATTAGGCACGGAAAGAAAGAGCAGTGTTTGAACCATTATCAGGTTATGCTGTGGGTGGTGCAGAAGGGTTTCCAGAACTTCCAAGTGCATTGTAAAGTCTCAGCACAGTGTCTGACAAATCTGTTGTTCAAGTCTCCCCACACCAAACATACATGTGCCAAGCATTTCAAAGCTCCAGAAAAGTACTGGGAATAGTAAAGCACCTGCACTGTGCCCTTCACCCAGCTTATATTCCTCTCCCTCACAATACTCTGCAGGGAGGCCAGAGGATCGCTGAGCTAGGAATTTTGGGGGGTACATCTTACAGAGGGCCACTTCAGCTGATGAAGTATCGACCGAGACTGTGAGCACTTTAACTGCTAGAGTATTTTAACTGTATGACTGTTTTAATTTGTTTGAAATGTTTAAAAAGTTTTATGGAGACCAGGTACATTGTACCGAACTTTGTAAGCCGCCCTGAGGCCGTTTGCGGGTAGGGTGGGGTACAAATGTAACTAATAAATAAATAGTGACCTCAGAGTCACCGTTAAATGGCAATAAAATGAGGCAGATAGCCGATGCTGAGATGAAACAGTAGGAGAGCAGATGCGGCATGAAACGCAGACAGAAATTTGTGAGACGATGGGAGATTGTTGGCACAGCAGCGGGAAAGACCAATGCAGATTGGACCATAGACGAGAGCAGCTGTTGCTGCTGTAGGTGCCAGGGATAATCTGGGAAGGGCCATGTGACTAGAACTTCTTTTTGCTCTGTAGATCACCCTTGGGCTTGCTAGGGTTTAATTGGCTGTGAGTCTTTGTGCCAAAAAAACACACCCTCTTCCTGCTTCCAATGAGAAATTTGACTCTCAGTGTAGTGAAGGGTTGAGGAGCAAGCCCTGTCAGTTTTCTACAGCTTTTTTATTTTTTAAAAAAATCCTTTGTTTTAAGATATAAAGTCGCTTTTGACCCGGCGAGCTGGGTGGCTGTTGAAGAACACTCTGGGATTCTGACGACGACAAAAATCCTGGACCGAGAATCTCCCTATGTGAACAGGAGCACATACACCATCCTCATCCATGCCATTGACGATGGTAAAAGTTTCTTTCGAAAGAGCCGCACGAAACCAGACCTTGCTCCCAGCTTAGCTGCCAATCATGATAGATAAATGCTTTCTGAAATTCTTGCCTTTTTACATACTGTTTTGCTCCTGTTCTCTGATTGAGTCCATCCATCTCATGTTCGGCCTTCCCCTTTTCCTGCTGCCTTTGACTTTTCCTAGCCTGATTGTCTTTGCCAGTGACTCTTGTCTTCTCACAATGGGACCAAATTCTGATAGCTTCAATTTATCCATTTCAGCTTCTAAGCAGAGTTCAGGCTTGATTTGATCTAGAACACGCTGATTTTTTCTTTTTCGTGGTCCACGGTATCCATAAAAACTCTCCTCCAACACCACATTTCAAATGAATTACAGCACATTCTTGTTAGCGCTCTCCAAACCAGTCCAGCTCAAATGATATAAGACCTGAGAGGAAAAAAACATTGTGGGAAATCTTTGCTGAGGAGATCTCTTTGTGGGTCATGCCTCAAAAGCTAGCTGATGAGTGAACATTTCTTGTCCCCTTCCAGTTTGGGGGAGGGGGATTAGAGCATCTGAAATTGATAATGGTGTGTTTTCCTGCCAGGTGTGCCGCCACAGACTGGCACAGGCACCATCCAGCTTTTCCTGTTTGACATTAATGACAATGCACCAAAGCTCACCACACCGTATCTGGAAGTCTGTGAGGGAACAGAGAAAGGCCTGTTCCACATAGAAGCTGAAGACAAAGATGACTTTCCTCATGCAGGGCCTTTTACATTCCACTTGGTGGAGAGCAAGGAGAACACAAAGGATGTTTGGAAATTGGGGCAGAATTCCGGTAAGTTCTTCTGTGCTCTTTCATCGCTCCCCAGTTCTTTCCACACCAGGGGAGGAACACAAAGAGAGGTCTCGGGTTTAACTCTTTGACTTTGTTTATGTTTTTAGAAACTTTTATGCCGCCTGTTCCAGGGAACCTGCCTGAGGTAGCTTACAAAATAAAACATAATAGAAAGATAAACCATTAAAAGTTAGTCAGCTAGATTGAAGTCCAGTAGCACCTTAGAGCAGCTGCTGCTGCTGTAGGTGCTGGGGATAATCTGGGAAGGACCATGTGACTAGAACTTCTTTTTGCTCTGTAGATCACCCCTGGGCTTGCTAGGGTTTAATTGGCTGTGAGTCTTTGTGCCAAAAAAACACACCCTCTTCCTGCTTCCAATGAGAAATTTGACTCTCAGTGTAGTGAAGGGTTGAGGAGCAAGCCCTGTCAGTTTTCTACAGCTTTTTTATTTTTTAAAAAAATCCTTTGTTTTAAGATATAAAGTCGCTTTTGACCCGGCGAGCTGGGTGGCTGTTGAAGAACACTCTGGGATTCTGACGACGACAAAAATCCTGGACCGAGAATCTCCCTATGTGAACAGGAGCACATACACCATCCTCATCCATGCCATTGACGATGGTAAAAGTTTCTTTCGAAAGAGCCGCACGAAACCAGACCTTGCTCCCAGCTTAGCTGCCAATCATGATAGATAAATGCTTTCTGAAATTCTTGCCTTTTTACATACTGTTTTGCTCCTGTTCTCTGATTGAGTCCATCCATCTCATGTTCGGCCTTCCCCTTTTCCTGCTGCCTTTGACTTTTCCTAGCCTGATTGTCTTTGCCAGTGACTCTTGTCTTCTCACAATGGGACCAAATTCTGATAGCTTCAATTTATCCATTTCAGCTTCTAAGCAGAGTTCAGGCTTGATTTGATCTAGAACACGCTGATTTTTTTCTTTTTCGTGGTCCACGGTATCCATAAAAACTCTCCTCCAACACCAGATTTCAAATTAATTACAGCACATTCTCGTTAGCGCTCTCCAAACCAGTCCAACTCAAATGATATAAGACCTGAGAGAAAAAATATTGTGGGAAATCTTTGCTGAGGAGATCTCTTTGTGGGTCATGCCTTGAAAGCTAGCTGATGAGTGAACATTTCTTGTCCCCTTCCAGTTTGGGGGAGGGGGATTAGAGCATCTGAAATTGATCATGGTGTGTTTTCCTGCCAGGTGTGCCGCCACAGACTGGCACAGGCACCATCCAGCTTTTCCTGTTTGACATTAATGACAATGCACCAAAGCTCACCACACCGTATCTGGAAGTCTGTGAGGGAACAGAGAAAGGCCTGTTCCACATAGAAGCTGAAGACAAAGATGACTTTCCTCATGCAGGGCCTTTTACATTCCACTTGGTGGAGAGCAAGGAGAACACAAAGGATGTTTGGAAATTGGGGCAGAATTCCGGTAAGTTCTTCTGTGCTCTTTCATCGCTCCCCAGTTCTTTCCACACCAGGGGAGGAAACACAAAGAGAGGTCTCGGGTTTAACTCTTTGACTTTGTTTATGTTTTTAGAAACTTTTATGCCGCCTGTTCCAGGGAACCTGCCTGAGGTAGCTTACAAAATAAAACATAATAGAAAGATAAACCATTAAAAGTTAGTCAGCTAGATTGAAGTCCAGTAGCACCTTAGAGACCAACAAGATTTTCAGGGTATAAACTCTGAAGGCTCAGGTCTCCCTTTGTCAGATATCAGATGAAGGGAGCACTGTCTCTTGAAAGCTCCTACCCCCAAATCTTGTTGATCTCTAAGGTGCTACTGGAGTTGAATCTAGTCAGGGGTCGTTTCGTAGAAAAAGAGCTAGGGGAACTCATTAGCATAACTCATTAGCATATGCCACACCCCCTGACATCACCGGACGTGTGTCATAAGGCCACACCCCCTGACATCACCGGAAGTGTGTCATAAGGCCACACACCC